AGAGAAGTACTAATTAAATAAATGATATTTCTAATGTTTACATGACACTGAAAATAGCTTTGTAGCTCTACTGTGTGCTACTCTAAACAGTCCTTAAATAGGGTGGTTTAGGCTTAGGATCCCACATGTCAGGGAGTGTCAGGCAGTGAGGCAACATTCCCTGCAGGTACTGAAAGGTGTCATCCTTCAATGCCTGACTGAGAACCACTTTCTGTTTAGTTTTTCAGGCTTCTCTTTCTATTTAGTTCCTGCTCTGCCACTTAATGTAATGCCCGTTTGCTGCAGCCTGCTTTTAGTTTGCTCCTTTTAAAAGCTCCCCGAGGCACAATGATGCCTAGATATTAATGTATTCCCTTCCCGCAAATCAAGCAGATGTGTGTCTATTGAGTTAGTGTCCTAACATTTAGCTAATTTCTTTTCAGACCTTAGTTGAATCACTGCTACATGCCAAACCCATGAAACTCCTGGGATAGGTATATCTGTAAACACAGTATTTTGGCTTTAATTGCCAAGCATTTGTGTGACTTGCATGTATATACAAAATCACTGAATATGCTACACTAGTGGGCAGCATAGTGTTCCAATTGTGAAGTGTGGCTGAATTTAACAGCAATAAGTGTGAGGTACCCTTGGCAGTCAAAGACCTGAAGTAGTTGTTTTTGCCATCTTTATCCATCCATCTTTTTCTTACTGGTTGGAATAGAAACCTTCTTTGAAAAAGGTTGCTCTTGGTTGGAAAGTTGAGCCATTTACATGATAGGCAAAAAAGATCCTTGCCAAGGAATTAACATCTATTTCCCTTAACTGCACAGCCAGGTTATGGTACGCCCTGCTTCTCATTCTTTAATGTTCAAATCACACAAAGCCAGGGTTGTTATACCTCAGCTGTGGTTGGAGTCACTCATTTTAAATGTAAATGGTAGTGCTTTATTTTCTGCCAGAAAAGAGAGAGATCTCTCCAGATAACTGCAGGTCCTTTGTATCACGTTCCCTCTTGCTGAGGTACTGAGCAGAAGTAACTCTTTGGAAGAAAATCAGTCCTGTCCTATTCTTCTAGCTGTGCCATAAAGAAAAGTGCCATCACACCCAAAATTAGAATACTGAATTCAAGTTGCATGTATTTATTGAGGTAAGGTATCATGAGGAAGATTTTCTGGAAGCTCCTGAGCTCCTCATGGTAGCCAGAATACCCTTAGGACTATATCAAAAAGACATGCATTATTCTAGTGAAGTCTTTTAAAAATATAGGTTTATTTTAAGCACATGAAACATCAGGATAGGCACAGTTACAAATACAGAAAAGGTTAAACATGGCAATGCACTTACAGCCTGACAACACAAGTGGTAGTTTAGAGGCAAAGGTTAACATTTCACATACGAAAACCAGCTGGAAATTGGTTCTTTTTGGTACTAGACATTCTAGACTTTATTCATCTCAGTTTTATATTAAAAATATTCTGTCATTCCATACTTTCTGAGATTTTATTTAGTAGTTACTTGCATAAATACTTATGTACTTAAAATATTGTATAAAGTGCATTCAAATGAAGGATAGAAAAAAGGAAAAGGCTCGATTTCCAGTGCACTAGAGAGGACTGAGGCAAAACACTCAAATCATTAACTAGAAAGAACTTGGTTTCAAGTCAGAGCCTAAGCCCATAATGAGTAATGGTACAGTAATACAAATATGGCTTCTAGGAGACAATTTCAGAGTAGATACAAACTACTTGAACTGTGGTTTGATAGCATATTCATCTTTCAAGTTTTGCAGAGCAAGGTAACATTAATGATAACTATTAGATTAAAAATATGCTGAAGTTCGAAATGCTCCTCCCAAGTGGTCCTGAGCATTTATTACTGTAAGCAACATTCTATTTGTTTTGAAATAGCCCATTTATTCTGAAGCCTTATTGTTTACATTTTCCTGTGGACTGTGAGCTGCTACCTTGGAATTCTGGGCAGTCTTTTGTTACATAGAAATGCAGCCATTTCCATCTTTAATTGATAATCCTAAAGATGTTTCTGTTAACATCAGTGAATTAGCATGCACTGTTCAGAAGCTTAGGCTTTATAGTTCACACACAGTTAAGGGAAATCTAAGGACAGCAGTTTCAGCTTTCAGTGTCCTGTAATTGAATTCTATCTTTCTGAAGCTTCAAAAAGCCTAAAGGATATTTTCAAATTAAAACACTCTGGAATAAATATTTTTTCCCCTTAAGACATGTTAGGGATGCAGAAGAACTGAGGGCCACAAAAAATTTCACCTGTTTTTAGACAAGGGATCTCCTCAGACTGTATACTGAGAGGTCATGTCATTACTGGAGCCTCTTAGCACACATCTGTTACTTCTGTGGAAGCATGACCTTGGAAAACAGTGAACAACATTCCCAGTAGCGTGATACTGGCAACAAGGACAGCGATTGTTCCCTTACGTTCAAACAGGAGTAACTCCTCCAAATAGAAAATTAAAAAAAAACAATAACAAAAAAGGAAACCATTTTTTTTTTAACAGTAATTTTCATCTCTATTTTGTATCAGTTGTGCTTATTAATAGGTTGAAAGAATACTCCCACCAAATTCAAGAGATGAATTCTTTGACTGTTCTCAGTCATCCTTTTTGTCTGAGGTACTAGAGTTATCTTCTTCACAGTCTGCAGGACAGACTTTATTTCTTGCAGTTGGTCTTGTTTCTGAGCCTAGGACTGCACTCTTTCTAATTGGAGTGTGTTTGGCTTCAGATGACTGAATACTGTCATCTTCCTCTGCCATACCTACCTGATTTCTCTGTAACTCTAAGTAGGTAGTAAACAACTTGGCGTATTCTGGATGTTCAAGTGCAAAGTTCTTGAACTCATCTGAAAAATAAAAATACCAACCCGCAGATAGTACAGTGCAGCAACAGAATCCAAGGAAATAAAGATGATCTCCAGTTATGCTTTTCAAAAGCATCTCAAGCACTGCATGCAAAGTACCTATGTCTGTGTTACAACAGCTTTCCACAGAAACAGTGTATGAGAGCCATCAGATGTTTCCGAGGAGAAAAGACACTGGGAACTCTCAGTTGTCAGTATGACTATCAAGAGTACTGTTATGAAAGGACATAACTTACCATAGGACAGCTTTCCAGTTTCATCTGCATCTATTTCTTTAAAGAGGTTAGAAACATCAAGGTCAGGCAGCCCCAGAGCTGACTGAATGATACAAGCAAACTCTTTCTCTGTTACAGTACCATCATCATCCTGGTCAAAGAGCTGGAAAAGACATATGCACAGAAACATTACTTTGCCTGTGAACCTTCCGTGTGCAGAACAGCCACCATATTAGGTTTCTAGTATTCAAAAGGTGAATTGCAAACAACTGGTATTTGAACAGTAGGGCTCCATCTCAGCTACTTTTTCTTACAAGAGCTTTTATGCACTTTTTCTGCATAAGACTAGACAGAAGTTTAGCAGTGATGTACATGCTGTAGTCAGAATCAGAATATTTTGTACTAGGAAAAGTATGCCGAAAACCTGCAACAGCAAACAAATCTTACAACACTAGCTAATAAAACCTATACAATGCTTATAAACAAAGGTTAATGTTATTTGTCACCATGAGCTACACCACTCTATGCAAGCATACCTTAGGTCGTCTTCCTTTTCATTAAGTTGCAGCATACCTGGCAGCTGATAGATTTGCCATAGCTTATCTTCTGACATAAAATACCTAGCTTTTAGTATATGTGACCTGCCACCCACTAAGGAATTACTGTAATTACAAAAGGAATTTTGGTGACTGGAATGCAGGCAGTAGATGTACACTGATCGTGCCATCCTTCCCAGCACAGTGACAGTTAGCAGCTGCTATGAATCGCTCCCTTCAGAAATACAAGAAATGGATGACTGTAATTCTTAAGTAATTGCTATGGGCAAAAAGTCCCATTGTGATGGAGAGTGCATTTAGTACCAAAGAAAACAAGTAGCAAAAGAAAGCCCACAGTTCACCAAAATGGAATTTTTACCAGTTGAACTAGTCATTTCCTGCTGAAGTCAGGAACTGTAGCAGATTACACATTTTATAATCAATGCAAAACATCAAAGATACCTGCTAGACTTGCTTCTGAGGAACTAGACTAGATTCTGAGGAATCTAAGATAATTAAAAAAAAACCAGAAATACAAACTACTTTGAGCAGCTGTGACACTTAGCTGTAAAGCAGCCAATGACTGCTGGACTGCCATAAAAATGAATACTAAAACATATTCAGTGTAAGATGAACGTGGTTTGTATCTTAATACATAGTGGGTAAAATATCTGAATCTGTGTCAAATATCCTCTGAAAAAATTACCTGGGCATTTGAGTGTTCAGAGATTCAAAATGTGGGCATCCCCGACTGTGTACTGCATGCCTGAGCTCCTTGACAGCTCAAACTATCAGAAAACCATGGAACAAGCAAATGGATGATCTTGGATGCAGCCGAAATTCGAATGTGCCTGTCCCAAATACCCCTTTTTGATTTCCCTCCCTTCTCTTCATTTTTGTAGAAAGTGACCCTATTGAGTGTTTGACTTACAGAGGATATTGCTCCATCTATTGTCTGCATGTGGCATTGAAAATCCCAGCAGAAAAAAACCTCAGGCAAAAACCCACAAGTGCTGCTGAATCATTTTCGGAGTTGGCCTGCCAAGTTACATATTCATTAGTGCCTTCACATGGCTTTTCAAACCCTTTTCTATGAAGCTGATGACTGCAATTCTCCGCCTCCCCTTCACAGTGTAAATGTCAATTGGTTTAAGAGAATTACTCACATTTGCATATCAGATTGAAGCTATAAACTTATGATTTGAAAACTAACAGATTTACAGTCAGTCTTCATTTGTCAGACTTGTAGATTTACACTAATTTGAATTTACCTTAAATGCCATGTGAATGGTCTCTTCTGTGTTGGCTGGGTTACAGAGGATAGATAAACCGATGACATATTCTCTGAAGTCAATGGTGCCATCTCCATTCTGTAACCAAAAAATGTATGGCAGGAGTCACAGTTCACAGTGCATATCACTTCAAAAGCGGTTGTACAAATCAAATATACAACATGCACTAAGGGAACATGCAACATTAAATCATTATTTCTTCCTGCAGAAAATACAGCTTTCTAAATTTGTGTATTACTGGGGATGAAGTAGGATATACATGTTTCCAATATCTTATAAGCACCCAAACAAAAAAAGATTGGAAACAACTTAGGAGACTTTTGTTAGCATATGGCCTCCAAGAAGCTTCTGAACAAGAACGGGAATACACCAGCTAAAGGTAAATGTAACAGTTTGTGGAGCGCTGGCACTTAGTGAAACTCAAGAGACAGTGCAACATCCCAGAACAGAGAGGCCAACACTGAGACTGCTGTCTGTCTGGAGTTAATTCTTCCTCAGAACCTGCAGCAGTCAAACATATGCCAGCAGAAGTACAGCCTGATGATGCACATGGTCTCTCTTAAGCGTTTCTTTGAAGCAAATGCATTGCCCTACATGCTATTTTGAGGCAAATACATTGTCCTACTTTGTAAGCCAGAAATGCAATTAATTAATTGTAGCAGCCTGTTTGATAATTGCAGTTTTGATCTGAAAGTACATTTGAATGTGCTCACTACAAAGCCGTTCCAACAAAACACTTGAATTTTACTTTGATGGGATTTGTGATCAATTCTATGTAAACTGCATCATATTTCCAGACAGGAAATCCACTGAAATACATGTTTAAATCAGTAATGTTCCTGTGACCACCCTGAAAGTTTCTTGAGGGTTTTAGGAAACATCCAGTGTAGGGAAGAAGCCTCCGTAAGCGTTGCAATGGGACAGTTAATGAAAGCACAGCTGTCCTGACTGGTAGCCCATAGTTTGGAATATTCACCAAAAGGACACTCGTCAAAAACGTTCTAAAATTAAACAAAAACATACAGCAGATTTCCTTCTGTGGATAATGCACTGTACATTTCAAGAAGAATTTCTTTTTTATCAAAAGAGTGGGCTCCCTAAGTCTGAGAACAGCACAGACAACGCAATTAACAGACGGGCTGTCTCCTGGGTAAATCTGTCTCATACAGCCAGATCTTGATCCTATTCCTGGCTCTCCCACCAGCTTCTGATGCCCACTCCAGCATATCAGTCTTAACTTTTCTGTTCATAGTTTCCTCCTACTGAACAGTGGAATATGGAGCTCCCCAGTGGACAAATGCTGAGGCTGTTCTGTAGAGTGCTTTGGAAGTCTTGCGTTCTGTGAAACACGGATTTCTGATATTGAGCTGAGATCTTAGGATCGTCCTTGATCAGCATCACAGTGCGTCCAGTACTTCAGGAAGCTTCACATTTGGCAGGATTTTAAACTAAGATTCGATTTTAGTTACCATTCAATAACAATTCAGAACTGGTTTGCACAGATAACTGTTTTTTCTTTACACTGATGGTCTAATCAATCTTTTTCAAGGCATCTACCATTTGAACATCCTATATTTTGAAGACCTACAATTTTAAGGAAATGTTTTAGCAAAAATTGGAATAGATCTAAGTTACCTTGAAGGTAGCATGTCAAAGGTATAGTTGCATGTCAAAGGATATATAAATTTTGTCAGCTTTTCATCACTAGAGAAGGGCAACATTCTCTCATAAATGCTGTTTTCATTCAGAAACTACTAGATTCTAGAAACTACAGAGCTAATAAGGCTCATGTTACTTTTGCTGAAGCATTAAAATCCAATAATCAGAACTGAGTGCAGTCTGACACAGAGAACTCCAGCCATTTGAGAATGAAGTTACTTTACTTGTAAGATCATGTTGTGACTACTACTAAGTCCTAAGAGGTTGGCCAACTTACAGATGCTCTGGTGTTTTGGTTAAGGGAAAGCGATAGGGTGCTGCAAACACATGGGTGTTAAACTGAAACCACTAGAAAATCCTCCATGTTTCTGTAGCATCAATGCAAAGAAGACTTGCCATAGTTGTTCTACACATACCTTGCTCTGTTTGCACCCTATGCACCCAAGTATATGTTGAGGAAACACAACGTCAGCTAAGTTCTAATTCTCTAAATATCAGAAGTTAACATTAACATTCATGAATTCGTATTTATGTCATTAAAACATCCAAAGCATAGTGTATTCTCAACAGACCTTGTTTTCTTAAAGGAAACTAGTTTCCTCTTCCTGTTTTCATGTGTTTGTGACTTGTTCCTGTTCTGATTAGCCAAGTCACCCTGAGTTGCTTACAGAGAAGCTGCAACTGGAACACCTGGAGAGGAACTGCAGTTGCACATCTCATATTCCTATCCAGGCTCATTATGTAAGAAGCTATTGCTGTAACTCAGAAATTTCAGCTGCTTGTTGCTACATGCAAGTTGTAACCAGTAACAAAAGGGAAATTCTGATGCAAACCTCGTAGGTTGTTTTTTTTTTAAACCAAAAAATCCAAGCAAAAGTTGTAAGTTATTTTTTCCAAAATTAAAAGGCTTTTGCAAACATAGCAGCAACGAGGTTTCATCAGCTTGGGAAATATTAATTGCTGACTGTAAGATTTAGAAATCAAAGCTATGGAAATTTAGAAACAAAATCAAACCACAGAACCCCATTTTAGTATTCAGTTGCCCTGCAGATACTGTGTGGTATTTCTCCATTAGTCACTGATACCTCCGTGAGGAGGGCAGGAGGCACATGGGCTCTTACATCTGGAGTCTCTGCGCAGGCTGTGCTGCTCCACTCCTCATTTCACATTCCAATCAGCCAGCACACACCCTAGACAATTTTCTTTTAAAGCAGCAGAGCCCTGCAGAGAAACCTTCCTTGCCACTCCACAGTGAAAAAGCTGCTTGTCATCATCCACGTAATCCTTATTTCAGAAATAGTGTGCCTTTGACAGTTCGTGTTATTTCTCGTTCTATTACTCAAAAATTGACATCTCAAAACTGCACACTTAGCTCAAGTGGGACGCTGCACTCTGACGAAAGTCACCTCTGATAGCTACAAGTAGATTTTTGTTGGCTGGCTGCTGTGTGACTACATTGTTACAGCAACCTAAATATAAATGCAATATTTTAAGCTGTTTTCATTATAACTATATTAAGGCTTCAAGGAGAGAGAAAAGACTAGTAATAGAGTTGCAGAAGGAGAAAAAGGTTGTTAAGGTAGCCTGTTATCTTTAATTTTGTCTTTGCCGGCAAGTAGAACTGACAATACCACACAGATTTTATTTCAGCAGACCAGCACGAAAAAGTAGTAGGAAGGAAGCAAAATATTAATTGGTCATTATAGTCACTGCAACTTTAATGTTCATCCCCCTGCTTAGAAATAACCACACCATTTAAGCCATTAAGCCATCACCATCTACTGAACGTTACTACTGACTGCCTTCAGGCAAGCACAGCTTTATTTCAGCTTAGTGAATGCTGACAAATTGGCACAGTAATATCACAAAATACTACCAAACTTACAGTTTTTTATATAATACTTAAACTCCTTTATAAGCCCACATTTAGTGAAGAAGTAACTAAGCGTTGATCCTTCAACACATTCCCTCATTTCAGGGTCTAGAGATAATTTTCTTACCATCTGTACAACTGACAACTTACACAACTTCAGAAAAGCAGGCTAATGCATACATAAGAGGAATCACAGCTAAGCAAAATATCTTTAGCTATATCTGCCTTAGAATAAAGCAACAGCTACAGTTCTATAACACAACAGCATTGTAGTCTTCCATCTATATCTTTCAAATGAAGCTTATTCTCTTCTGCTTTGCTTTCACGAGTACATGGTCAGCTGCAGCCAGTCCTCAATGGTCATTTTGATCTGCCCATTTCCATCGCGGTCCAGCGCCTTGAAGGCCCGGAACATGCTGTCCAGTCGCACCAAGCAGCTGATGAAACTGTTAAAATCCATGCTGCCATCCTCGCTGGCATACCTGCGCACGATCACCTGGCAGAGCTGTTCGTTCAGCTGGAACCCTGCAGCCTGCAAGGCTGCTGGCAGCTGAGCTCTCTCCAGAATGCCGGACTGATTGGTATCGCAGCGCTTGTACGCACACTGCCATTTCTTGATGTTGTTCCACAGGTACTTAAACTCTTCAAAGCCCAGTTTGCCATTTGTGTCGGTATCCATGACAGCTACCATGCTGCGGCACGTGTCTAAGCTGAAGCCATCTGTCTTCAAGTCTTGATGTCGGGAAAGCACTTTGTTCAGGATATTTCTTAGCTCTGTAGCAGACACTTCCATATCATCTCCAGCCAGCTGGGCAAAAAGGCGACGGAACTGTCTAATTTCCTCACTCTCGTGAGCTTCCACGTTCGTAAAATGGCTGCGAGGTGGTGGTGGCTCCGGATTATACTGAGCTGCTGCTTCACTTATCAAATTCACAAGACCTCCAACAAGTCCTCCAAGATTTCCTCCATGTCTGCCTCCTGTTAGGAGACCTCCCAGGCCACGTACAAGGCTCCCTCCTTGACCACTACCACTTCCTCCGCTCAGCAAAGCCTTAGCAAGGAACATCACAAGTGTTTTCGAAGGGAGTCACTCAGAGATCTTGCAATTCTGTAGCTCTCCAGAGCTGTGTTGTGTATGAGCTGGGTGTGGACAAAACACAGCTTAATCTACATGCTTAATCATGCCTGTGCATGACTCCAGAGGCCAGAAATACTGCAGATCTCAGTAGTTTCTGTCTGCCGTTGACATTCCTTTTTCACACACCAGCAGCTAGGATAAATTCCTGTTTTTCTTCTTCTACTCTGCATAATTAGCTTTATGACATTTGATAAATCTTTGTTGAAAAAAAACAAACAAACAAACAAAAAAACCCACAAAACCTGACGATGCTGAAAGCCACACAGCAGAAGTTATAATTGAAATAATTAGAAAAGACCCCTGGCAGTGTGACTGCTTCTCAGTAAAGCAGATCTCCCTATAGATGAACACTAAGAAAGCTTACTAAAGTCTTGACTGTGATTGCAAACTTTTATGTCTTTAGCTTTCTAATGAATTGTGTGTTATATTGCTAATTCTAGTCACTGAAGCAGTTATGCCAGATAGGTGAGTTGAAAAGAGTCTTCACTGCCATTAGTTACATTGGTTGCCACACTGTATTTGTCTTGTATTTGTGCTGTGCTTCAGAACTCAGTTTTGCATTCATAGGAGCCAGTGGTCCAAGGTGAGGAGATAGGGACGGGGAAATGATGAGTACCTTATCTGCTAGAGCTTCTATGCCTTCAGCAAATACAGGAATATATTTTACAGGAATATATATCTCTATTTTAGAGTCTGTAAGTCCTTTATATTTGGAAAAATCTGGCAAGTTTAAATCAACATGTACAACAAAATGCCCTCCTAGTGCCAAGTGTACTGCTAAAGTTAACTTGATTGGGAAGAACGATGCTGTGTTAGGAGAGCTCCCAAGCCAAGAAGCAAACTTGAGTTTATAAGCACTTCTAATAAAGTATGCTGCTTGCACTGTAGCATAAAGAAAAACGAGTTGTACACTATGCTCTAATCACTGGGGCTGCTGGTGTAGACAGAGGGAGCACATTTATACAGCAAGTTTTCCCATCTTTCAGGGAGAAGTATAACATGAAACAGATCACTACTGACTATGGAGAAAAGCCTAAATAATCAGATTAGCACGTGCACATTCCTTCTTTATGGCTGAAGACAGGCAATAGGAGTCTTCAGAATGTATAATAGAACCTTTCACAAACACAACATAAATATTTCTTTACTGAAAGGGCTGTTAAGCACTGGAATGGGCTCCCCAAGGAGGTGGTTGAGTCACCATCCCTGAACGTGTTTAAAAACAGTTTGGATGTGGTGCTCAGGGATATCATTTAGCAGAGCGTTGTTAGAGTTGGAGTAGTATGGTTGGGTTGCAGTTGGACTTGATGATCTTTAAGGTCTTTTCCAACCTGAGCAATTCTATGATTCAGATTCTATACAGTCTATTAAGCTTCAATCTGCCTTAAGTTATCTACTTACAACTACACTGCTTAATTAAACAGTTAGAATGTAAATGAACTCAAAATCTGGGATAGGCAAAAGGAAATATTCAGCCACCAGCAGAATGAAGATGGTAATCTTCATGCTGTAGCTTTCCAAGAGATAACTGTCATTTCACAAGCTACAAACCAACCAACTTTTCTTTTCACTCAAACTTACAAAGGTAACTGTATGAGTCAACTATCTGTCCTGTACGAATTGCTAGCCAAGAAGTGTTTACTAAGCTTGACGTAACAAAACAAGTATTCTTTTTGTATGTAGTTCTTAACAAAACATTGCAAACAAGATTTCTAGTCAGTTAACAGACTACTTACTCTGTCAAAGAGTAGAAACAGCTCCCTGAGGACATCTGAAATAGGCAGCTTCAAGTACTCTGCAAATTCCTCAATTCCAATTCTTCCCCCTTTGGAAGCACTTGCAATAGCAGCAAAGGTATCCAACTGCTCTCTCACATGGTTCCATTTTAAGCTAAGCAAACATGAAGGAGAGGAGGTATTTCTAAATGCTGTACATCCAGGCTGATGTTTTATATGAAATCAGCAATTAAGGACTGCCCCCCCACGATTATTAGTATTATAAGCAGACAGTTTTATACTTGGGTATATCAGAATTCCTTAGAGTAACTTCCTAAATCTATTATCATCAGGTTAGTCCAGTAAAGAGGTTTTCATTACCATAAATTCAGGTATAGCATTATTTTTATGCATCATGTGCAAGTGTGATATTCCATGCTTAGCAGCATGGAATATACATCAGCTCTATTAGCTAACTCTCTGTGCAAACACTATTATTGCTACAACATGCAAAGCATCTGATCTCCACAGAAATACAGCTTTGCACCTTGGTTGGAATAAAGATTGCCATGTAACTATTGAAGATTTTTCCAGACAGAGTTGTATAGATGGATGTGTGGCACACATAGCAAGTCTAGATGCACTGTGCACAGACTTCAGATTTGACCACAGCCACACCAGGTCGCTCATCAAGTAGTTTGTTTTTTTGTACACTGTTATCAACTGCAGCATTTCCCTTATCAACAGCTTAACTTCCCTTACTTGAGCTTCTTGCTGATTTTGGTGAACTCCACCAGCCCTGCTTCCATGGGTAAAGTCAGCTGTCCTGCTGAAATCATCAGTCTGCAGTCTTCAAAAGTATGATCAGTGACTGGCACCTTCAAAGCACTGAAACAAAATTAAGGAAATGAAGGAAAAAGACAATCACTGTCTTACACTAAAATGACTTTTAGTTGACTGTTTCTGTTCTCACCACCACAACTTGCCTTAATGCTAATATACAAAACAAGTGATAATTTGTTCTTTTTCTGATGCAGGCAGCATAGAGCAATGCATTCTGTGAAGCAGCACTGTGAAATGACATTACAGTAATTTCATGATGTTTTCATGTTCACAGTTTTGTAAATGCAACCCAGTAGCCTCTAAGAACAAAACACGTCCTTACTCTTGTCAAGCAAGTAAGGGAGCATTTTATTCCAGCATTCCAAGTATCAAACATACTATGTTCCAACATAGGCAGCCTTCTTTATGCTCCACATAAGACCAATCAAAGGGTGTTTTGGTACAAGAATTAGACACCTTCATACAGTACCTAGGACCTGACTGAATGGTGAGGCAGGGTACTTGGTGTACTTTATGGCTGGGCTGTACACAGACATCTAGAGAAGGAAGGTGGATAGGTATGAAAGAAACGTTCTCAAAGATTTTGTTCATGACATTACATACGTTGCCATGGTCTGTCGGACTCTATTGGCAAAAAGAATGGGATCATTTCTTTCTTCCTCAGTAGGAACATAAACAGGCAGAAACTGAAAGAGATGAGTAATCCAATCAATTCAGTAGTCAGAACTTTGTTAACAAAATAGACAACTTCCTGTTAGTCTTTGCAACGAGAAAAACAGAGGGGAAAAAAATGAGCCATGCAATGACAGAGCTGGACACCAGAGGTCTCAAGAGCTTTAGGAACAATTCGAAGTGCACTAGCCACACAAGTAAGATTTTAGTCCAAACTGCCTCTTAGAGATTGATAGAAGCAGCTATAAAAAATAAAAATCAAAACTACAAAGAAAGTAAATGCGTGTATCATAGGAGGTTTAAACACTACGTCTGTAAGAACGAGTCTGAAATTCTTTTCAAAGATTCTTTGTAATTGATGTTATATACCAGAAAAATGTGTATAAGATTTACAGTGTGGTGTTTGTTTTTTTCACACATGCTGCAGTTACACCTGGTACACATTAACTGCATCTGTCAGGATGTGACTGCTAAGTTTTCTGTAAGTTTCTTCTAGCCTGTGGTGAAAATGCTGAGGAATCTTAGTTCTGAATTATAAGAATACTAAATTGGTACAGAATTTTACAAGCCTTGCAAACCAAGATATCTACCCCAGATATCTACATGACACATTTACTGTTAAGGACTTATTCAATGTTGTTTTGTAAGAAGTTGGAGTAGTATTGTGCTAACAATGTACCATAGGTGAATTACTATCTGCCATGCCACAAATGGCATCTTGTCTGCAAAGTACTGTGTGGATGTGTATTCTGGTCCTTCTTCAGTTGACACAGTGTTTGCCTGCAGCTCTGTTTCCTGTGCCTCTTCTCAGTTACGATTATCAGTTATTTCAATTCTGTTACTTCTCACCCTGCAATCCTGCTTTTAAATCCTAGAGTATAGCTATTCTAGAATCATTAAGATGCTGCACACTGTTCAGTGGAAGACACAGTTACTATGTGTCAATGTGTTTCTTCAGTTATATTTTAGTTGTTGGTGATGCATCAATATATTGGTACCTAAGTCCTATTTAAATACAGTCCATCCTGGACAGCCTTTGCCTTTGATTTCAAGGAATGCTGCTTCTTTATGACCAAATCCAGACATTTATGGAATAATTTCTCTATCAAATAGCCATGACACTTTTCTATTTGTAGCTGGGCATTTTCTCTCTGGTAAGGACAGCAGGGGCCCAGCTGCTCACACAAAGTGTTGAGATTTCATTCCTTCTACAAGCAGCTACCAGGTCTGTTCATTCTAACACAGATTCTGGCTCATTACAACTTCCCTGCAGAAGTCATGCAGCTCTTAGGTTGAGGAAGCACAGGCACTCTGTACAAACACAAAGAACTGTGTTATCATTGGCTGAGACGAAATCATAATTCTGAGAAGTTTATCTATGCAAACATGGTTCCTGCTCTTGAAGGTGGTCATTATGTCAGCAGAGGCTGAGGTCTTCCTCAGACCGCAAGTTAGATTTTTGGTAGCTGAAACATCTCATTTAAGAAACCTGCTTAACATTAATGATTAAACCAGTCTGCCAGAAACTACAGCAGGAGGTGATGAATTTGGTTTGCTGTCCTCCTGAGGTGGCATGCAGGATCTCACACACACCCAGCTGCTTATCTGCTGATGACTGCTAAGTATACCTTTGCTGTCAAAATGCAGTCCTGTAAGAACGATTCTTCCCAGCCCTTTCAGTAGCAGAAACACTTCTCTGATCTGCTTTTGGCTTAGTCTCTCTTCCTATGATATCTGCCAAATGCTATACCTTTGGCAGACATAAAACTCAATGCCATTTTTATCAGCTAATTACCAACATACACAATTTTTTAGGCTGTATCTAGAAACACATATAATTCCTTCCTGGACTACAGGAACATCACTGTCCATGCATTGTAGGTAGAGCCAGAGCAACACCAATGGGAAAAGAGGCAGCTTGTTCACAGTATGTGGTAGTAACTGAAGTGTTCGCTGCTGAGAAGTGAACTACTTAGTGACCACTAATAGTGTGATTTCCTCCCTCTCTGGGTAAAACTGTCCCTTCAATTTTGGCCTTTTGGAAACCTTTGTACTGATGCTAAGCAGTTATTTCCACTCTGGTGACACGTACTGCTGTGAAAGCTGCATCTTTCTTCACGTTTCAGTTTCACTGTGGGAACACAATTTTCTAACAGACAAGTTTGAGTTCCTTTCTGAATCGGGGGAAATAAACATTCTAATAGAAGGGCTCCATTGTTTCTTGTTCCCACTTGTATGAATGGCATAGATGTATCCTTCCGTACAAAATCATAAAGAGAATTATATCTTTAGTGCATACTCTGTTAATCTGTCTACTGCACGTATTATAATATACAAGATGTTCCCCTGAAAAGAATTTCTCTGTTTCACAACAAAGAGTTGACTGCTAATTGTTAGCAGCAGTAACACAGCTTGTGCTCAGAGAGCACTACTTTACTGAACTCTGTGTTTTGCAAATAAACAGCAAAACCTATCTGAATGTCTCCCAATGCTCAGGTCCCTAAACTGACATAATCCATACGGATAATCTTTGTGGTCTGCTCAGGAATGTGAAGCACAGCAAACTGATCATACCTCGGTTATCTCTCTCCTCACTACTGCGTTCTGAATGCTGACTCTGACAGGCAGCAAGCTGTTAGAGTAAGTGTACTGATATATGAAGTGCGTATGTTGTGTCAGTTGTCATTTATCTGTCTTTGTGCCGTGCAGCTGACCTTAATGATCAAGAAAACTGGTTCATTATACGAGGCTCAGCTTTCTCCCAGAACAAACACCAGAGTTCCTAAGTAAGCTCTTACTTGCAGCAACCCTTTAGCGTTCAGTCTGGGAAGGTGGTGAGTAAGACAAGGATGCTTTCAAGAGAGCAGGGAAATAAGAAGGTAGGGTAAAAAAATGTGAAGTTGCCTTTAATAGAATGTTTTATATTTGTTATAAATTTGTAACCAGTGAGTTGGCAATGATTTTCCAGTGCTTTAAAATAAAAGTATTTCTGACAGCTTTTATTGGAACTCATCAGACACAGATCTAGCCAACAAATCTCAAAATATTCTCACTATGACTCTCTTCTTGTTGCTGACACAGCTGTTTACTGCTCACTAACAATGATTAATAATGTGGATTAAGTATTTATGCTGAAGTATAAACTCTGTGGCTACTGAATCTGAGTAGAAAGATATTTCTGATTCTTACCTCAACCTCCACTCTTGTGAAGAGCTGACACAGTGTCATTATGCACAGCTCTTTTCTGCAGGAGAGGAAAAAAGAAAGGAAGAATTTAAAATTATGTTTCACAAAGTATTTGCACGTCAGCAGATGAAACACAGCCAATATTGGACAAGGATTTTAAGTACGTGGAAGCTTCCTGAAACGCTGCATTGGAGGTTTTTTTTCTATAAGGCTCCTGCATATATCTGCTGCTTGCTCACTGGGCAGGCAACTTGTTATCAGTTGTCATGCTTATCAACAGTACTGCAAAATTTTTGGTGAGCAAAATACATATA